TCGCTCCCGACAGCCCCAAGAACCAGGTTTAACAACATGACTGGGCTTTGTTTGCTTTTCGGGCTGCTTTATCTCACACGGCACCTTGCAATCAGCTCAGGCAACAAAAACCCAGTTCCTCTAAAATTCACCCCTGTTTCCCTGTGATCACAAGCTCCAGTTCCCAAAACAGAGGGAGCTGAGCTGAGGAAGAGCCTGATGCTGGCACACTGGCATCCCACCATGGGAAACTCCCAGTAAAGCTGTGAAAGCTCCATGGTGCCCTTTGTACTCCCCAGCTAGCAGGGCTGGGTAATAAAAACATCATTTTTATCTCTTTTTTCTGGATTTACATCCCCATCTGGGCTATGTAAATATTGTTCGTGTCAGTGCATCCCTCCATGCGATTAGGAGAAGAGTTGGAAACCCGGATGGACACGGGAGAGCCTCCAGGAATGCTGAGGTCCACAGCACCCTCAGCCAATGCATCTGTGAAACGGGGCCAGCACAGCTCCCTTGCAATTAATAAAAGCTCCAAATCCTGCAGATTTGGGTAAGAAGGTGACAACTACAGTGTGACCTTCAGGAGATGGGAGCCTCCCAAGCACCAGCACTGGGGCAATGACCCCCATGACAACTTCGTTGGGATCATTTCCAAGAATTAGCTCTTGCAATCAAATTCATCATGACCAGCGTGTTGAGGGAAGGGATTCTCCCCCTCTGCTCTGGTGAGACCCCCTTCCCTGCTGAGTGCTGCATCCAGCTCTGGGACCACCAACGTAAGAAGGACATGGAGCTGCTGGAGTGAGTCCAGAGCAGGCCACAAAGATTCTCAGGGGCTGGAGCACCTCTTGCTCTGAAGACAGGCTGGGAGAGCTGGGGGTGTTCACCTGGAGCAGGGAGACCTTAGAGCCCACTGGAGAAGGACTTTGGACAAGGGCCTGGAGTGACAGGGCTGGGGGGAATGGATTCAGACTGCTAGAGGGCAGGATTAGATGAGATATTGTGAAGGAATTCTTGGCTGTGAGGGTGGGGAGGCCCTGGCACAGGCTGTCCAGAGAAGCTGTGGCTGCCCCATCCCTGGAAGTGTCCAAGGCCAGGTTGGAGGGGCTTGGAGCAATCTGGGGTAGTGGGAGGTGTCCCTGCCCATGGCGGGGGGGGGTGAAACTGGAACTGGATGGTCTTCAAGGTCCCTTCAAACCCAAACCATTCTGTGATTTACCCTCATCTTGGGGTTTCTCTTCTCAGCTCCTCGAGCTTCAGCCATGCACATCCACCCTGGGATTCTTCTTCAGCCCAGAGAGGAGCCCATGGCTTCTCCTTCCTATATTTCATAAGACTGTTAGCACTGAAATGCTTTATTTTCTCCAAGAAACAAACTCACCAGTTCTTATCAAGCCTCCATTACAAACACTGGAGTAAAAATAGCCTTTTCCAGCTATGCTCACCTGCCCTAAGGATGTGAAATCAGTGCTTACAAAGAAACTCCCCACCAAAACAGATGGGAATTCAGGAATAAAGGTGACATCAGCCATGCCTTGGCCTCAAGATATGATAAGTCAAGGGCTATGGTCCATGCACCAGTCCAGTTTTCCTAGCACAGGGAGATGCAGCAGCCTTATATCGGGAATTGGACTAAAGGGGGGAAGCTGCTCCCCAAGTTCCTGCAGGGAACACATGGATACACTCAGAGAAGCTGCAGCCAAACCAGACCAGCTCCTCAGGCCACCTCTCCAAGTGCTTGCAGCTCCATTTCCAGGAATCAAAACATTAAATATTAAGCAAAGACAGTTAATCTATACCTGGGGTATTGACACAAAGCGGAGGAGGGGAGAAGAAAAAGATAAACAGACTTTTTTAAAAAAAATAATCTGTGTGCCCCTGCAGGTTGTCCCGCTGGGGCCTGCCAGACCTCGAGCATGGCTCCAAGGATGCTTTTGGGGGAATAACATGTACCAAGAAGTGTCACCCTCTCAGCTCTCCCCAGGAAGCCAGAGATCTGTTGGGACCTTCAGGTGGCTCAGGTGCAAGCAGCACCTCCCTGGCTGAAGGCAAAGCCCTGGCCAGAGACAAGGTCACCCTGTGCTCACCTCTCCCAAGGCTGGGAGAGCATCAAAGCAGCGGCAGAGCAGACATTGATTTAAGAAGGTCAATGCCCAGTTAATGCTTACCAGGACTGTTCTGCCACTCAGATGGGCTTTTGGGGCTGGGAAAGATGAGTGTGCTGGGATGGCTTATCTGTGCCTTGGCTCCTTGTCAGCCTGCACCTCGTGGGACCAGCACCGGGATGGCTTTGCCCCGTGGATCCCTCAGCACCAGAATGAGCCTCGTACAACCGGAGGGAAACGCCGCCATTCATCTCCCAGCGAACACTCTCCAGCATCACTCGACACCTCTCCAGCAAAGCAGAACAAGATTTTTTTTTTCCTGCCTGAGTGCTCACATGTACATTATTTTTTTTATTCTAGTCTCAGCATTCCTCCGCTCCCCCGAAAGAAAACAAACCCAAAAGCACAGTGTGCCTTGCAAAGGTCCTGCTCTGGCGTCCCACGGGGAAGGGGCACGCGGTGGTCGCAGCAGCCCGCCCGCCCCAGCCCGCCACTGCTTGTTGATATAGGCAGCACAGTATATTTCTTTAAAGAACCCAGTCTATGCATTCGATGCATTGCTGCGAGAGGGTTTGTTTTCAAAGCCTGACCCCAGACCTGAACTCCACGGATCCTGCGTTTCTCAAGATCAAACGCGAGAAAACGTGACCAATGCAAACAAGAAATAAACCTTGATAATTATAGCCGGGGCGGCTATTGTTTAGTGCAGACTAGCACCCGCTTTAGCATAAACATAACCCTATTTTTAAAGGGATGCCTGAACAGCTGACAGCATTACTCCCCATTTTGCCTCCAAATCCCCTCTTTGATACAAACCCACCTCCCTGAGACCAGAGAGGAGAGTTAAGAACAGACACAAAAGGGTAAGCCATGCCCACGGCCATAATGGATGCCTGTGTGGGAGCAGGGAGTTGATCCTCATCCCTACAACCTGCTCCCAGCTGGCAGAGGATGAGGGGCACCCTGGGGTCCGGCTGTTGCCTGCAGCTGGCAGGATCAGACTGACGGAGGACAAACAGACAGCACCGGTCTTTTCAGGAAGGCCATATCACTTAGCGCTTGGAAAGGAGCTACAATATTTTCCTGATTATGTTTGCACGCAAACGAGCGCCGCGGGGAAATTATGCAATGCTGAGCGGGGAGGGGTGGGAGTGAGGGAGGAAGGGCTGGAGGGGGACCCCGTGCTGCACCCCGCTGCCCTCGGCCCCAGCCCGTGCAGCTGCAGCCCCGGAGGTGCCGCAGATGGGCTCCATCACCGCCAGAGCCCCCGCACCACCACCCCCCGCACCACCCCCCCGCACGGAGGCAGAACGGGCAGGGGTTATTAACGGCCTCTTCATTAAACACCCAGACCAAAATGCATATATTCATCACCCAAGCAATTTAATTACCGAGTCCAGGCTCACCTTGCACACCCACATGCCTTTCTTTTTCGAGGCCTCTGTGCGGTCATAGCCTTAAATAAATAGGTGGCAGGAGCAAGAGGCAGATGCTGACTCTTACAGCCTCTGTCTTGGGCACAGAGCCTTTGAACCACCAGAACTCACAGTATTTAATTTCTTTTGTTACTGCTTGTACCTTTAGAGCTCTGCCTTAGGCTTTCTAGATACGATCACAGGGAGGAGGAAACAGCCAGCTACACGATGAGCTTCCTGGGCATCACACGCGTGCACACACACACTCACAGCCCATCAATCACCCTAATTATAACCGGCCACATGGCCACAGCTCTCAGCGCACCCTGTTACTGCCCATTATTACACGGTCACAGCTTTTCTCTGGTAACAGTATCACAGAGTTAATTTGTGATCTGTAAATGTGGTGTATCTTGTAATGAATTTCATCCCTGAGCGCTCACCGTGCGCTCACCAGTCATGTGTCAGACAAGGGAGGGAGCGCAGGCGACACTGGTCCCCAAAATAAGGCTTTAAGGTTCTCACACACCCCTGACCCTCCTCTCTCTGCGATACACGCCTGGTTTGGTTTCTGGCTGCTGCCCACGTCCCATCCGGAGTCAGGACAGTACCACAAGCAGGCTCCCTCAACGTCAAGTGCTTGTCTCCACCCGGCAGATAAAAGCAAGGTGGGCCATGGGTGTCCATGGCAGGGGTGGATGTGATCTTTTGGGGAGGACAGAAGGACCTAGGACAAGGCTGGGCCTCCCGACACTGGTGTCTGGCTGGGACCAGCACCCCAGTGGGCTGGTGTCCCTCTGCCAAGTCTGCTTCAACAGTGGGGTCTTGGCAGCAAGAAACGTTCCTCTTCTCCATGTTAACACTACCCAGTCAGCATCCTGGCCAAGCTTGAAGGTCCTACCAAAACACACAATTGGATGCCGTCGGTGGATCTTGCTTTTAAGGGATATTAAGTGCTGGAGACCCTGCGCCGCCCTCGGTGTGACCACGCAGGCAGTGCTGCCAGCCCTGCCCTCCGCCGGCTTTCCCACTGAATGGATTCGCTCGGAGGAAGCGTGTCGGCGAGGCAGATGCTCTTCTGCAGCCACCCACGGCCAATAAGGCAGACAGACATAAAGCTTGAAAATCCATAAAATATAGCAATAATAATGAAAACTAGAGGGGGTGGCTCACACCCAGCAGCTGATTCACCAGCTCTGCTGTCCTTACCCCAAGACACACCGGCAGGACAGGCTAAGGGCGTGCTTTTCACTGAATTACTTTTAATTGAGTACATCGGAGCTTAGAAACACATGATGCTGCCGGAGATAAATATAGCCACGGCTACGAGGATAGAGGGGGCAGGGAGTAATCGCGGTTCAACATAGCCGAGAAGGAGCTTCCAGCTCTGGGAGGCAGCGCCGGCCGCGCCGCCGCACCTTCCCCGCACCTTCCCCGCCCCGCTCGGGCACCCCCGGCCCGCCCTGCCCGGCCCAGGGAAGGGGCCATGGAGCCATACCTGTTTTAAACTCCAGCGCCGGATCCTTCTCCCCCTCGCCCAGGTCGCTCTGCAGCATCATGTAGAGGATCCCGAAGGAGTTGTTGATGCCGAAGATGGAGCCATTGCACCAGGCGGCGGCGAAGACCACCACCCAGCCGAAGCCGCCTTCGCGGGGCTGGAAGGGCGCGGCGGCCCCGCTCGGCCCCCGCTCAGTCCCAGTCCCAGTCCCAGTCCCAGTCCCAGTCCCAGTCCCAGTCCCAGTTCCAGTCCCAGTCTCAGCCTCAGTCTCAGTCTCAGTCTCAGTGCCGGCCCCGGCCCCGGGCTCGCTCTCTCCCGCCGCCGCCGGCACCTTCTCGTCGCGTTGCGCCATCGCGGCCCCGTTCCGGCCACCGCCCGCCGCCCGACTGCCCCGCAGCCGGTCCCACATGCCCGCCGCCCCCCCCGGCCGGCCCCCCCGCCCGCCCCCTCCTGCTGCAGCCTCACTCCCCGCCTCCCCTCCGCCGCCTCCATCCTCCTCCTCCTCCTCCATCGCGTCTCTCGGCCCCCGCGTCCCTACCTGCGGCGGGGGCCGCCCGCCTCCCTGCGCTCCCCTCCCACCCCCCCCGCGGGGTTCACAGGCGGCCCCGGGCCCGGCCGCGGCCCCGCATCGCCCGCCGAGCCGCCGCACCGCCCCCGCCGCCGCATCCTGCGGCGGGCCCGGCCCGGGGCGGGCCCCCGCCAGCGCCGCCCCCGCGGGGCCCGGCGGGCGCGGGGGTGGCAGGAGGGATGGGGGGAGCCGCCGCTGCCCCCTGGCCCCGCGGAGCCCCCTCCCCGGGCTGCGGGAGCATCCCGCGGGCGCGTAAGGGGGGCTCTCGATGGCCGAGGCGGGTGATGCTGCAGCTCCCCCCGCCCCGCAACGAAGCCCCGGGAGCCGCCCGAGCAGGTGGCAAAACACCCGGCGAGGGGATGTGTTTCCTTCCGTGCCGGGTTTCCCGGTGGGATTTTTGGCATCCCCTGCCAAGTTTGGAGAGCGTTTTCGTAACACCAACCCAGCTTCTTGCTGCGGGGAGCCGCCAACTGCACTCCGGCAGCGGGATGTTCTCAGGGCCGCGGGTCACCCCACGCTGTCTTCCCCAGGCGGGACAGCAGCGGACACCCAAACCCGGTGCTTTTGGGAGCTGTTCTCTCGCCTCTGCCTTGTTCTGCAGCAAGCTCTGCCTTTTGTCTTTCAATAAATAATTACAAACCCACCAACATATTAAAGGCTGTCTTTTCACATGCTGGAGGTATTGAGACTTTGGTATATGCCAAGTCTGAGTTATTATTCTTTCTTTCCCCTAATGGCTGTGTCAGTGTCAGATTCCTATCAGAGTAAAATAATACATCCCAACCTCCCGCTGCTCTCTCTTTACCTCCAGGGATATTAATTACAGTGCAGGGTGCGGAGCCTGCAGGGAGGCGGCAGCAGGGCCGCATCGTCCCCCTCCTCTCCCCCCACCGCAGAGCAGCGCCCGGCCACGGGCTGCGGGCTGGGAAGGGTTTGTTTACGTGCAGCGGCTCGCCGGGCTTGGTGAAGCCCCTCTGAGACGTGGCTACGGCCGGAAAACCTCTCCGGCCTGCCCGCCTGCTCCCGACCGTAAATCACTGCCAGCTCCATCGCCATCCGCTTCCTCCCACCCAGAGGATGAGGAGCGGTGGTTCTGCCTGGCTCTGTGTGAGCGCTGGCAAGACCCGAGCCAGAGGGATGCACCGATGGGAAATGCGGCTTCCTCCTCTCGCCTTCCCGCTTCGCCGCCGCGCCGATGGATGAGCCCGAATCGCCGTCCCCGGCGGCGTGCCCGGTGGGAACGCCTCGCTCAGGTCAGCTCCAGCCTCGCTGCTGGAGGAACTGCATTTTTATTTCCCTTCCTCTCTGGTGGAGTCTCCTCCCCGGATCCCCATCTCCACAGCGCGGCCGGGGGAGGCTTGGGAGGTTTGGAAGCATCTTCCACTGCCCTCTGCCGACACAACAAGCAGCTAAATTTTAATATCCATATCAACCATAAAGCCAGCTGAGGTTGCTGGCCTGTTGGTTTTATTTTGGTAAGACCCAGCAAAGCTGAGAGGGAAGGGGGTTGGGGTACCCGAGGCAGTGTGCAGGGAAGCTGCTCCCCAAAATGCTAATTCCCCAGAGCAGCAGAGATGGGGCTGGATTAAAAACAGCAGCGAGAGAAATGGGAGAGCCCTTTGCCATAGCACACACTGTGTCGTGGAGACCTCTCCCCTCCAGAGAGCAGAGGGCTCTCACAGAGTGGGAAGCAGGAAGATATTCCTGTGGGCCTTGAGCCAGACACAAAACCCAGGGAACAGCCTCTCTCCGGGATGTTGGCTGCACAGTGACTGGACAGAGCATTTTCTGGCCCAGGCATAACTGGGCTGGACTGGACAATACCAGTGGGACTGGAGGGTAAAAACAGAGAATGGGCTGAAAAAAGTGGGTGTTAAAGGCTGTATGAGATGATGGAGGTTTCATCCAGAAGGGAGATGCAGCCTGGAAAGCTCTGGCAGTATCAGGCAGGAATGGCTCTGCCTGTTGTAAGAACATGGAGCATCCTACCCAGAGGGTCCACAGCTCCATAGTCACAAGATGAACAAAACACTGAGGAAAGACAGATAAAGCTGCTCTTCCCTGGTTGAACTCAATGCTAAAACACCCTTCTGCGTCTGTGACATGATTTGCCTCAAAGCCCCCAGTCTGCTGGCTCAGTAAGGAATGCAGTGGATGGCAGTGGCACAGCCGGGCTTTCCAGATCCACATCCCTGGAGAGCTGGCAGGCAGCACCTTGTCCACCCAGGCAAAGTGTGGCTGTCGGCAGTGTCTGCTTGTCTCCAAAATGTAGTGCCAGAGCCTCTGCCAAAGGGACTGGCACCTACAAGATGTGTGGGCTTGGTCTTTCAGAAGGGGAGGAGTGACCGAACGGAAATATCCCTGCAGACACCTTGGGAAGCATTGCGGCGGGACGTGGCCTCGGAGGACAGTAGCGAATTCTTGGCGGCTTTGCAGCCTGCCTTTGTTTTGGTGGGTGTTGTGCAGTGGCACAGGGACACGTAGGGTTGTCCTGAGGACAAAATGTTGCTGACAGCTTCTGCTGCTTGGCCGAAAGCTCTGGGAAAACATCTCTGGTGGTGAGCGGCTCCTGGCAGAGACATTCACATTCTGGGCACAACCCCTTCCTGTCATGTAGCAGTGCTGCTTTCTTTAGATTTAGTTGTAGTTAAGACAGCTGTTATATCTGGCCTGACAGAGCCAACAAATACCCTATCCCAGAGGAATGGCAGCTCTGGGGCAGCCTAAGGGACACGGCAGCAGTCACTCACTGGCCGGGATGCTGGAATGCAGTCTGAAGCCCAAGGTTTGTCTCAGGGAGAAGCGGTGAGAGGACCAGCACACTGTAAGATCCTTTCTCTGCCTGACCTTCCCAATGATTGGGATCAAAAGTATCAGAGATGGCCTTTTCCACCTTGTTAGCGAGATTCAAGTGGATTCTACTTAGTTTGGCTGAAAAATGAGACAACTTAAAAATGCTGTTGTGAGCAGTGGGTTTTCAGAGCACCATGTGCCACTGAGTCCTGCTTTGTTTTGGCAGTGGAAATCACAGCACCATGTTCACTCCAGTGGCTTCAGGCTGGGTGGGGAATGTGGTCTGGCTCAGCCATGGCTGCTGCCCCACCTGACTTTCCACGCAGTTGAGCAAAAACACTCCTTCAGTCCCAAACAGAGAAATGGGATGGAGCTATGTTGTATTAAAGGGCTTCTGGAGCAGTATAGCTGCCTGCTCACCTCCAGCCATCCAGGGGAAGAGGTGTGAATGGCATTTTCTGAGACCACTTCACTGGTTTTCCATATTTCCTTTGAAATAGGAACTCCAAGGACACATTCCTGTGGGGAAGTGGAAGTTCCTGCCCAGAGCCACCAACCCCAACCACGATCCAGCTGCCAGTGGCCACCCCAGCTGTGCTGTGTAACCCCACAGGACCTCAGTGCGAGGTGCCAGAGGTGCTCTGCTGATGGGAAGAGCTCAAGCCGGCACACAAAGGAGGCAGGGATCCAGCTGTAAATTAATATTTTATAGAACACCAAGAAAAATCAGAGAGGCTAATTACAGCGATAATCATCGCAGCCTGGAGGCATTTCCATGGAAGTCAGGAATTACCCAGGATTACCTCAGCCCTCGCAGCAGCCTGCGCGGGAGGTGAGCGCGTGCGGCGGTGGCACGGCACCTGGCACTGCCTCCTGAACCAGCTGGGGGGCTGCAACCCCAACCAAAGAGCAGCCAGGTTCTGGCAGCCTCCTGGCATCCAACTCCACGGCATTTGGTTTGCTGGGCTGAATGTGACAGAGCGGAGGGTTGTTGGAGTCACGGGGTTTGGGGCTGGGTGCTCGCCTGGGTGCCTCTGTGCCTGTTTGTCCCCAGTGCCACTGATGTGGGAGCCATTGTTTACTCCAAGCTGCTTAAAACCCCAAGGGGTTCAGAGCATCACTAGCAAAAAAGTTTGTGATGTGCCCTCAGGATAAGCTTTTCCCATGGTTCATTAATTTACTGGTAGTAACTGATACTTGCATAGTTTGTCTGGGGACAGACTGAACTTCCTGGACCCATCAGCTTTGGAGGGTGGGTGGCACAGCCCAGCTCCAGCATGGCATGAAGTTGGACCCACGCTGCTCTTGGTAAGCCCAGAACATCTCCAGGAGCTGCATGGCCAAAGGCCTACAGGATCCTTCCCCATGGCCCAGGGCAAAGCCAGCCCAAACCTCTCCAGGGCCAGTGGCTCTGGGAGCAGAGAAGCTTTGGTGCAGCTGGTTCATGCCCCTGAGCTCGAGCAGGAGGGCACTGCTGATCTGAGACCCAGCCTGCAAGTGGGACAGGGAAAAAAATTGGATTAAACCCCATGTTTGCTGTGCACAGAGCTGGAAAGAGCCTGGGCAGAGGTTGGTTCTGGGCTGAGGGTGCTGCTCAGGTCTGTGGGTGCTGCTGCCTGCCTGCACCCTGCCCTGGAAATGGCAGGGACCAGACACAAAGCATCCCCTTCCACAGCCCTGGACAGAGAAGTTCCTAATCTGTAGCTGGTAGAGATACAGAGAAGCTCTGCAAGGGCCTCCTGTGGACAGACCATCTGCCAAAATGTCCCAGCACATGGCCCAGCCACCCCCTGAGGCTGCTGTGAGACAGCGAAAGTCCCTGCACACAAGCCTGGGGCTGATGCTCCCTGTCTGCCTGCTCCAGGAGCAGCTCCTGCCCTTCCCAGGCCAGCTCCTCAGCATGCAGAGATGTCCAGGCTGTGTGGGGCACCACAGGCGTGCTGCCCGCTCGCTGCCTGTGCCTCCAAAGTCCTGCATGGGGGCTCTGAGCATGTTCACCCAGGAATGCAGGAGCTGCTGGGAGCTCCTGGGGCTGAAGCCCGAGGTGGTTGTGACACCCACTGGATTTGCCCCTGGAAGTTTGAGGGTTTGTGATGTGCTGACCTGCTCCCACCAGCTCTGGCAGCACAGAGAGCCCCGGAGCTGCTCCA